TGACTGGGCCTCGTTGCCACTTTATGTTCAACAAATTGGGCCTCGAGGTAAAAAACCATTTTCACAGTTTAAATAAATGATTTTAAACTAAAACATTTTCAGATGTAGTTTTCCTGTTTGCTTCACAGCCACAATCTTTTCATCCAAGATAAGCGGAGTGAAACGATGGTGACGACTCTCATCAAGGAATTTAAAAGCTATTAATGATAAATAAAAAAAACTTTAAATAGCAGCTAACTGGGGAGATTGTGAGTCTCAAGAATGTGTAAACAACTAGAAAAATCATCTCAATGACACGTCTGTACAAAGAATGTTGGAGTCATGACGTGTGACATTAGACAGCAACATAGTCACACCCTGCATCCTCTGATCCTGTAAAACCAGAATAAAAGTACAMGCTGGGACTAAACAGGTCAAAAGTTTGTTTGCTTCATTGTGAGAAAACCTGGCGTGAAAAGTCCATTTTAGTCCCTGATAAGGATCTGAATCATTTAATAATAGGTATTGGCTGACACTGAGTCTTTTCTTTTAAAACAGTCTGCTGCTCAGCCGTGCGAGCTGTGAGAGCRAGCTGAACCTGATGTAAGGGTTGGAATTTTAAAGGGACAGTCTGGAGATTTTTGAAGTTATGTTTTGTTCAAGTAGAGCAGTTTGGAGAACACTAATAATCAGAGCTGGACTTTTATAGATTTTCATGCTTATAAAAAGTTGTTCTAAAATAAAAGGCTTATACAAGAACGCTGGTGTGTTAGAGCGAGCTTACCTGGAGTAGAGGGCCTCTCTAACAGGTTAAGATGATGGTGAATGAACGCCTGACTGTCATGAACTGTCTCCATATCAATATCTTCATCCTCCATTGTGTTGAACTGCAACAACATTACAGCTTTCATTTATATTTTAATGCCAGCGATAAGGTTATTGTGGTTCTGTCAGGAACGCTGCAGGTTCCATTCAAGCAGAACAGTGTTAAACAGTAAAGTCACAGGGTGTGTGTGTCTAACCCTGATCTTGTATCGGCCCGCTCGCCCATCCTCCTCCTGCTGCTGCAGAACCTGTCCCGGCTCCGGTGGAGAGCCCAGCGGGGTCTCAGCCTTCCTCTTCAGGCCCTGAGGAGGCTGGCCCACTCCACACACCCCCAGAGAAACAGGGTCTGGTTCTTCATCCATCTGAGACACAAACACAGTCAACATACAGCTGCGTGACTTCAAGTTTTATATGTGTGGTTCAAAATAAAGTTTATCATTGCTAAACACGAAACGGAAAAWGAAATCTACAAATATAGTTTTAAGWTCTGAGTTTTAATGATGAACAAAAGAAATGAGACAATGAGGTGATTTCAGCTGCAGCTTTGAAGAAAAGTCATCCTGCAGAGTTCAGGCTGATATCAGCAGAATCGTATTTTTTATTTACAAAATAGTTTTGACTTGTATTTTACTCCTCTGATGATTAATGATGACAAAGCTAAGCCACATGCTGCCTGCAGTAATTATAACTACATTAATTCAAGCCAGTGAAAATCACTTTAAACCTTTACAGACTGCAGAATCACTAAATCAGACTGAAGCTGAAGCAAACACAGACCACCAAGAAGCTGACATCATTACTGGCAAATCTACAACTGGATATACTGTTTTAGGAAAAAAAAGGCCTCCTAAAAACTCTGTAATATTCCTTAAAGAAATAAATAGCTCCTGCCACCTTTAAAGTGTCTGTGACATYAAATGTTTGTTATACACATTAATGCATTTTTTGAAAGATAACATCAATAATATATTGCAAAACAAAATTCACTCTGTTGAGATGAACAGTTGTTAAGATATTCACATGTGAAGTAACAGGAAGTGATGTCAAAGGGGAATGTCTGCATGAAAACAGAGCTTTGCTACATTAACTAACACAGACTGTAGAGAAGAATCTGATGTTTCTTTAGATTATTCTGAGTCACCATCAGAGAGATAAAGAGTCAGAGTACAAATATTGTTTCAATAAACCATTTTTTTTCTTAAAGAGTTCCCCTGTGATGTCACTTCCTGTTTCACTTTGGCTAAGCCAAGCAAAGAAAAAAATATATACCAGTTTTGTGACAAAATGGGTAAAATCAGGTCAAATTTCTAAAATATAAAGATGTTTTCTTTGACTTTTTCTATTTGACGGGTCACAGAAACTTTGTCAGAGTCGTAGTCTTTTCTGGTCAAACCCTACAAAGGAAGTTCTGTGKGATCTCATATCTCCTTGTGAGCTCTTTCAGTACATGTTGAGGATGACTCTCAGCTACTACCACATTAAACTTTAGCTCAACTTTTAAACAATTTACTGAGTTTTGACTATTTTTTGTGATTTGKGAGGTCAAGCAGCTGTGTCAGGTGGAAATGTACATCCTGTGATTACTTTGAGCRTCTATCCACTGGTGCATCACATATTTTCTAACAGTTAATGCCAAAGTTTTACAATACAATGTAATGCAATATGTATATTGCTCAGAGTATGTGTTTGGTATGATGCTCAGCTACTACCACACCAAATTTATAAAACATGTTGTGTTTCCTAAGGTCAACTGGCTGAGGTGGCCATCTTGAATTAGGTTAACTCTAAAAAATAAATCAGTTGCAGAATCTAACAAAAACTTTTTGAGACTTTCATTAAAATTGGTCATTTAGCTAATGTTACAGACAAATAAATAGAAACACAGGCAAAAACATGATCACCTTTTGCCTTCTGAAATAACAACTCAGGGTGATGTTCCAACTAAATTAGAGTCAGACACTCACCATATTCTTGTCAAACCCAAGTGCTGATGGGACATGAAYGGACTGAGATCATTTAATATATTTTTTCAAAGCTTTGCTTTCCGTTGAAGACTATTAAACATAATACAGCCCAAACCCACATTATGTGCTGCTAATCTCAGCCCACTGAAGTGAATCTTCAACTAATGTTTGTTTCTTGAGATTAAAACTCACAGATGTGTAGCTCATGCCCACGCCATGGATGCCAATACTGGCAGGTGTGTCCATGACAACGTTGACTCCCAGTTCAGGCTTGATGGTGGGGTTCAGGACCGCCTTCTTCTCCTTCAGGTTGAGTACCAGGCCCAACTCCGGCAGCGGCAGGCAGGACGGCCGGGTCAGACCAAASAGAGTGTAGTAGAGATTCACAGCATCACAGCGCAGCCGCCAGTCATGAGACGTACCTATGTTATATAAAAATACAGCAACAAAGGGTTTAGTCAATCAGAAAATCTGTCAGCAGYCTTCAGACATGGTGGCTACAACTAYTGTGTTTTATGCTGCCTGTATGTCAGAAAATAATCCTGAGCTGTGTAATCTTGAGCCACACATTTTATTTTATAATCCTATAAGGACAAAAACTGATGAAACTGCATTTTTCTGTACAAATACAGCGAACACTGGGTGCTGAATTACTTTGCAAAAGATTTGCTTAAGAAGATGAAACTGAGTTACTGAGAACACTAGCCCAAACTAAAAAAAAGAAGCAAAATAAATAAATAAATTAATTAATAAACTGGCTAAAAGCTAAACGTAGCTAAAGGCTAGTTAAAACTAGACTGTGCATTGGCAAGAATTTGGTCATGATACATTTCAGGACACAGGGGTCACAATGCGATATATTGCCCTTTTTTCTCTAAAAGATTCTAATTAAAAAAACAAACTCAGTATAAGGAGCACATCATGCATTACATGAATAAAATCTGATTAAATTCAATTTATTTTTATGCAATCAGAAGAACCCAGAACAACAGTGAGAACCGCATTTGTATTTCACATTCCTTCTATAACATCCCTCTATCTGACAACTAGTGGCCGGAGACTAAAACACAACACAAAAATGAACCGCTGGCATGAAGGTTTACATTTTAAGCTGTAATTAAAAACTGATAAAGTGATTTAGAGAATCAATACAGTATCCGGAAATTTTAGTGTATTACTTTCTTACGCCACTAGTTGCCACAAGTCTAGTTTGTAGCTACAAATACAATGGTAGCTGAAAGCATCACAAGGCTAGATTAAAAACTAGAAGTAGAAAAAGATATTCAAAAGCTAATGGAGTGACCACATTTATTATATGAAGCCAGAGGAAGACACATGCAGAATAAATTGCCCCGGTTTGTRTGGAGGAGGTGAGTAGTGATGTTACGGTTTCAGCAGCCTTTGTCCCAATCCCCGGTCCAGGTCAGTTTGTAACTTTTTTTTATGTTCGTAAATTTCATAAACTTCCGTAAGTTCATTATTTTATAGAAAAAGAGTCTCCAAACTATATTAGTTTATTGTGATAATGTCTGAGACAATTTATTGTCTGGCAAAATTTGTTATGGTTAGTTAGATTGAAAACAAAGCATGAAAAAATTAAWTAACAGGAAAACAATGCAGGACAGTGTTCTCTATGCATCACAAGGACCTACAGCATCATTATGAGTCATCTGAGAAGACTTGAGTTTGGAGAAATTAAGCTCTAAGTTGACGGTCCAAGTGACCAGGCGCCGAACAATGGGGGGTTCGGCTGTGGTTTCAGAACTCGGCTGTAATAAATCCCGAGCAGCAACTGTAAGTGGTCTGGGTTCGTGTTCTTACAGGACTGACCTTCAGCTGGTGAAACATCATCCTGTGAGTGTGTGTGTGTGTGTTTAATGCACGGGGGGCTGAGGGGTACAGTGGGACAACCAGAACCATTTCACAACATARTATTTAGGTTTACCACACTTGTCACTGCGTATTGAAACTGGCAGCATTGTCCAGCAGCCCCCACACTAAGCTGGCCAACAAACAGCAACCCACTGGAAAGAATCTTGCATCAACAACTCTGCCCATCCTCTTTRCTTGTAAATCATTACATGAAATAAAACAAGAGCTCAACTGAAACTGTGAACATATACTGGTGTTTGGCTTTTGAGGCGGTGGGTATTTAGATTGGCACGCAGCAGCTTTATGGCCTGGCTAGCTAGCTGAAAGGTACATGGGACCCCCTGGAAGCAGAAAGAAAACAAGGAAACCTGAGGACACAATAGAAGGACTTCACCTCAAAACAGACCTCAGCCAGTGGATTTCATGGGTAACAGGAYGGAAAACAACGATGGACGGAGACAAGACGCTTATTTAATTAAGACACACTGAGCCACTGGATCTACATCAGTTTATTCCATCGGGACTTGAGGGTTCCTCAGTACCATGTTATTTAGACCTTGTTGTAAGTATCCAGAACATGAGCTGGGAACCACACAACTATAAACACAAGAAGAAGCAAAGAAAAACCCTCAAAAAGGCCTCGACTATACGGTTATGACGTCTACCTGCATGGTGTTAATTGAACCACTATATAGTAAAAAAAAAAAAAAAAAGATATGCACCATTAAGTAAAGTTTTTTCAACAGCTTTCAGCCTAACAGTAGTAATTTATCGTGGTGGAAGCAGTAAGACAGTGTTGGGTCTGTGAAATGCTCAGGCTCATTTTTCCACTCTGGTTTAAGAAAGYTGGATCAGCACATTTAACATATCCTTTGTTTTGAAACATGGGATACTTCCACAGCTAACAAACAGAGGAGATACTAAGATCCACCAGGAAGAAATCTCCCAATAATGAATAGCTCAGTGAATGTTTCAGGTAAAAGGAACACAATGGGGAAAAGGAAGAGGAAGATACTGACAAATCCTACAGCMGCTAGAGAGGTCTGGACTAAAGGACAGCACAGACGTGCTAATCATCAAATAAAGGGCAATAGAGGATAGGATCTACCATACCAGACAGGATCCAAGATAAGACAGTTCAACACACAATAGCAGGGWGTAAAATCCAGGCAGGAAAAGAACACATGGAGCACCATAACCAAGTGTCAGTAATAATATACAGGAGCATCTGTAGAGTATGGACTGGAGGTCCCAGTGTCACAGTGGGAGATGCCACCAAAGTTGGTGAAGAATGGAAGAGCTAAGATAATGTAGGACTTCCAGATCCAGACTGACAATCAGGTGATGGGTAACCAACAGGACATTGTGGTTGACAAGCAAAAGAAGGTGGCAGTGGTGATAGATGTAGAGATCCTGAGTGACTGAAACATCATGAAGAAGAAYGAGAAGCTGCAGAAATACCAAAGACTGAAGGTCTTGTAAAGGTCTCAGTAGACCCAGTGGTCACTGGAGCACTCAGTGCTGTGACCCCAAAACTGGGGGAGAGGCTTCAACAGATCGCAGGAACAACCACAGAGATCTCTGTCCAGAAGTACAGTTCTATGAAGAGATTCTGAACAGAACCCTCAAACTCCCAGACCTTTGGTAGAGGAACCTGAGCTTGAAGTTAAAACTGCAAAAGTGGAAAAACGTAGGGATTGTTAAACTCTTCATGTCTACATCCATGGGTCCAATAATCAGCAGTTCCTTTTTATTYCATCTAATCAATAAAGAAACATTCTTTCTGCACGATCAGTACCTGTGTCTGCTCAACCAAATAAAAACAAAACACAGTGAATTAGTACAATTCKAAGTATTCACTAAAAATTCCCCAACATGATGAAAGCCACTCTTTATAGTTTAGTGTAAAAKCTTTCTGTTCTTTGTTCTGTTCTCCTGAAAAAACAGCCATTTAGGCCCAGTTTCTGACTGTGGCGTAAACTCAGTTCAAAGGCCCCGGTGCTCCAACAAATCCTGTCAGGGATGGAGCCAACAGAGCAGCTGGAAACTGTAAAGCTTTAAATATTCTTCAAACTATTTTGATCAAATACAAACATTTCAGCAAACTTCAGAAGAAGTCAACTGTGTACTGGCTTTATCTGAAAAAACTATCAAGTTTCAAAATAATAATATATTTTTAAAAAATCACAATATTTCCGAGGAAGAAAACCTTTAGGCTTATTACAAAAACTGCTCCATGAATTCATATAAATATAATCCAAGGCAATTTGTTGTAAGCCAAATATTTTCTTGGTTCCACTCCATGTAAAACGACTGAACCCCCAAAAGTGCCGTTTGCCCCGAGTGTGGCTGAATCAGTCCATCTGTGGTCAGGGTCTACAGTCAAAGAGTGGGAGGAAAAGACCTCATTTGTTTTAGAAGAGAAGCTAGAGGGCAAGGGTCCAACCCAAATGATCATTAAAGGCGCCTTATTACCATTTGTCCATTGTTCCTCCATTTCCGTCACAGTTTTTGGTKTGATTCTTTTCCAACAGCTTTGGAAACATCCAGGAAAAATATACRTCAAAAAATCCAGTGCCATCAGGAATAGTGGCCAATAACTTCTGGTGTATAGAAGGATGGATGAAACGCGCAAAAACTGATTTTTTTCTTTTTCAATTGCATGATCATTTCTGTTTCATTTTCATTTTCTATCCATCATTGTTTATATCATGTCCAGATTTGATGAGATCACTGTGGAGTTGTGCAACACTTTAGTAATAAAGAAYTGACAAGAATCAGAAAATCTCACCAAAGAAGGTGTGTTAGGATTAAAGAACATTTGTTTATGTGCAAAATTTACAGAATTACAGTTTTTTCACTAAAAAGGTTTCCARTGTTAGACCTGGATAAATATGAGAGCAGGTACTTTAAAACAAAGCTAAGAACCTCTGAAAACGAAGGATTTAGAGGCTTCAGGTCTTGGGATAGGTCTCTGTTTCCCCACAAACTCCACAGAGTATTTGGTTTTCTTTCTGWTGGACACCTTCTTCAAAAGAAAACTAAGAAAAGTTAAAACCTGGTTTGGTTTTCAGCCGACTCAGAGCCACATCTCTAATGAGAGACACCAGATTTCCACAGATCAGTGTTTGTGYCATTATTCCTGAAAACTCATCTAAAAGTCACCAGCTTGTTCATAAAAACTGATTTAAAAAACAGTAGTTGTGAATGCTCTGCTGATCATATCTGTAAATGTTGATGTCATTTGGAGTTACAGAAAACATTTCAGTAGGATCCCTAAATATAGCTGGTGAGATTAAAAGAGCAAAACCTGTTTATAAATGCTRCATTAAAACAATGTTTATCAGTTTGACTGAGTGGTTTTAAATTCAGCTCTGTGCTGTGTTTAAACTCAATTTCATTTCACTATATCTGAAAAATGAGATAATGCCATGCAGCTGTTTTAACTTCTTATTCTAACAATTGATGGTGTAATTATTGATGATTGTTAGACAGGTTTAACTCCAAAAATGATTTAATGAGGTGAATCAAAATACTGCGTGTCTCACCTGAGTTCATCAGCTTCCAGAGTTGATCAACCAGAGCCTCGTTACACAGAGGTGAATCTGCCGTCTTGGTGAAAGGAGGATTCTTACAGAGYATGCTCAGAATCTTATGTCTGCTTAAACAAGAAAATAAAATCACTYCATGTCTGTTAGCTCTAAAGTTAGCTGAGGAAAACAGCATAAAATAATTAATAAAAACCAACATATCTCATATCAAAGCAGCTTCTTCCAGTGTAATTTACCATCTGCATGCATTTTCACAACAAATTTAAATATCTTTCAAATATAACCGTAAAGGACTTTGGGGAAGAAAGAGAGTTCTTTTTCTATTAGCTGCGTATTACCACTGTTTAAAATGTCCCCATTTCAAAGTAAAACACAAAGATTTTTATTTTTTTAAATTACAAGAATAAAGTCACAATATTAAGAGAACTACACAAAAAGCAGTCTTAACAACTAAAAAATAAGGTAAAATAAGTAATGATGAGCATCTTGTGAATACTTTGTRTCAGTGTAATTTAACTCTATGGATTCATGTGATAAACTGAAGCTGTGCGACACTGCAGTTTTTGGCTGCATTGAYGGATTTAGTCATCACATTAGCTAATGTGGATGGGAGCATATTACTTTAACAGCGACCCTAAAGTAACCAGACTACATCATAAACACAGGAGCACTGGAGGTGATCCCACCCAGAACTGGAAAATGGACGTCATGAAAGATTGACTATTTTCTGGTTATATTTTGACTTTATTCACATAATGAAAAATAAAGTCTCATTGTGTGGCCCCAAATACTGCATAGTATTTTAGAGATAAATCATTAGATTCAGATGATCAGATTTTATCATTTAATCTCTGCTGTAAACCATTTAAAAACATTTAATTATTACATAAACTACTTTAGAAAATATCTTTAATACAGAGAGCAGTCATGTTCATTATAATGTTTATTATAATGACACATTGGAATGTCCAACTACAGTGCAGTCTGTGATTACAAGATGAGGATTTGCACCACCATCTTGCTAGGTGCTATATGGGTTTGCTCAGTGTTTGACTGAATGTTAGTAAACCATTAAAATCAGTAAAAAAAACTCAACTCTGTCAAGGAAACCAGTGTTTTACCATCACTGTTGTAATTAGTGAAACACAAAGAATGTGGTATTACAATTCATCAGGGAGTATTAGGTCATATTTAGTGTGCATGAAATGAAGACTATTGAAATCCTGTTTGTTCCTCCTGTGCAGTTTTTTCCCCATTTACTCCTGTATACTGCATCCTATTGCAACCATGCTAAAGTACAGTATATTGTGTTTCATGCAAACTAGTTATTATCCACATTTGAATACTGAAGAGCCTGTTATACATACATAATATTTACAGAATTATGAAGACAAAGACTAATACAAAAGTTTAAGTTATTAACAAGCATTAGTAACAGAGATCTGATTAGACTATGTAGACATACTAAATGAATAATAGTGCAGCTATGTTATGTTTAGTAAGATTACAGCACTTGGTAATTTATTCAGTGGTGATAGTGCATCTGGTTATGCTGTGAACACTTGACCAGACTTGTCAGGCTTTTGTTCTCACAATGAGAAAAATCTATGTTTCAGTAACAAAAAGTTGTTTGTGTGGATTTTTAGACAGATCACAGAGAATATAATAAGATGGCTGACCCAAANTCACAATGAGAAAAATCTATGTTTCAGTAACAAAAAGTTGTTTGTGTGGATTTTTAGACAGATCACAGAGAATATAATAAGATGGCTGACCCAAACTTTGTTTAAGTTAGTGCTACCAGCACTAGTATCCAGTGAACTTTAAGAATTTTTGTCAACTTTTACATAAACCTGTGCAACTTTTAGTAAAATATTGTGCAACATTCACGAGAAAAAAAACTCCTCTTGTTACAGTTTAAGTTTCTRAATGTGCTCTTCACTGACCTGACATAGTGAACCGGGTCATTCTGGACCATGTTGAACAGCCACTGCAATTCTGTGGTGCTCCTTTCAACTGCATGCAAACAAGGACAACAAAATAAGAGAAAGAACTGACCAGAAAGAAGACATRACATGATGACTTGTCATTCTTACTCGCTTTGTCTCATTTAATTTCTCTCAGTGGCTCATGAGACAATTTGGTAACACACACATAAACACACAGGCAAAAATACGATYGGTGCCTTTGTCTTTCAGCACCAAGTAATAAAAACAGAGAAAAGTTCTGTGACCTTCTGTTTAGAGTCCTACCTCTTGTGTAGTCAACCAGAGCTTCCAGGGCAGCAACCCGGATGTCTACGAAGTGTCCGTACTCAGCGTAGGATTTGAAGAGTGATGGGTCACTGGGGATGTGACCGTTCTTCTGAAGCTGACGGATAGCTCTCAGACAGCTGAAGAAWGGCCAAAGGTCAATAAAATCACATCTGACAGCTTTTACCACTCCTTTTAAACCAGTTCAGTTTATACTGGACCAATTTACAACAAAGTTATCATTAAAATAAAAAACAAATAAGTTCAATTTTGGTTGTTTATTTTTTTTCTAAAGCCCACTGTTTAGTTATTTTAGCTACCATTCTACCACTTTTAGCTATCATTCTCCAATAGCATTTAGCCACCATTTTGCTACTTTTAGCTACAGTTTTGTCACTGTTAGATTTTAGCTATCATTTCCCAATTTTAGCTTTTAGCCATCATTTTGCTACTTCTAGCTTTAAGCCATTGTTTGACTACTTTTAGCTAYAGTTTTGTTACTTTTAGTTTTTAGGTACCATTCTCCAATTTAAGCTTTTAGCATTCATTTTGCAACTTTAAGCTACAGTTTGGTCACTGTTAGCTTTTCGCTATCATTTCCCAATGTTGGCATTTAGCCATCATTTTGCTACTTTTAGCTTTAAGCCATTGCTTGACTACTTTTAGCTAATTTTTTCCACTTTCAGCTCTATTATTTGATTTTAGCACTTTTTTAAGTTCTGTTTTGTAAATTTACCTTCAGCATTTGTTTTCCTGTTTTTAGCTCCTTATTTATTGTTTTTTAGCTTATGTCCTGGTCATTTTAGCCTCTGTTTAGCTTGTTTTAGCAGCTCAGTTTTAGTTTCTTTGACAAACTTATTGGAAGAACACAGTTAGCGCAGACTCTCTCTACCTAACAGTGATGGTGTTCCTGAAGCTTGGCAGCAGTTTCTCCATGTTCAAGAATCGTGTGATTTCCTCCAAGATCAGCCGGACRTCGGCATTTAAATTGTCCACCGTCCGCACCTCGTTGTTGATGCTGATGGCTGGAGTGAGAGAGTTGGTCAGGGCCTCGATCAGATGTGCGCGGTAGTAGTTATCTGAAAACTGAAGAAAAGCAAGTGGGGAGAGTTGGGGGAGGGGGSAGAAAAATGAGAGGAATTCAACTTTCTGGAAGTGCTTTGTTTGACTTGCAAATCTGGCCAAGATTCATACAAAATGAAAACATATGATGCWTTTTTAAATTGGCTCGTGTATTGCCATGAATAAATGGAGCCATCATGACTGCATGATGTGGATCTATAAGGACTGCTGCACAACTTCAAAACTACGACTGTTCTACAYAAACCTCAGCTTCAACACGGTCACAGAATAAAAAACAGAAAAAGGGTTTTATTTAACAAACCAGACTCAGTAAAAAGATGGTCATGTTAAGTACAATTTTATTACAGTTTTCTGTGGAACATTATGCTAATGCAGACACATAAGGATGATGTTTCACAGGTGGACAGACTGGAACAGGTGAAGTAAAACTAAAGCCTGGAACGGAAGGTGCATCTAAAGAAAGCAGAGATGATAGGAAAAAGAAATGGTGGACTAATAAAAAAAAATACTGACAGCTTCATTGACTATCATAGTAGTAATTGGTAAACTCTGATACATAAAACTCTGAATTTAAGGGGGGACTGAACTCTCTTTTGGTAGGCAGAGGATAAACTCATAGCTTTCAGAATATAACAGCTGATGATTTATTGAACTTGTATGATCAGAAAATGACAAGGAGTCCCGTTTTCCTTTGCCTGTACGTGAGTTACTACTGGAGTCAGTACTAGGGGAGGGGYTTAGCCCTAATGGGCTACGTGGATAAGCCCACCACCTGAAGGAGGGGTCATGCGGGTCGGGTGCATCGTGCTACGGGTGGCAGTTGAAGGCAGGGGTCTTGGCGCTCTGACCCTGGTTAAGAGGTACCAACTAGATATAGTCATCTCAATGCACATTTCTTACAGCAGAGGTGTCAAACTCATTTTCACCAAGGGCCATGAGGGCATTATRGTAGGCCCTCAAAGGGCCAGCTTTAATTAACTTTGATGTTTCACATTTAACTTAAACTAAACACAAACATCATGTTCCTTGTCTCATCGCTACGGCTGAGCACYGCTAAGAAACAATATCTGAGCTCTACGTGGTATTTCCTGCATAAAAACAGTGTTTTAACACRTCTTCTTGTGTATGACTGACTAAATGTGAAATAAATAAAACAGAAATACTATTAAAAGTTAATGTAAGAGAGTCTGGTGAGTAGCTGCCGTCTTGAATTTTGAGACATTAATACTGTGCTATCCAAACAAATTTCTCAGCTAAAGCCAACAGCTCATGGGCAAGACATATATACTTTTATTACCCTTCACCTTTCAAAT